AGCCGGGCGGGGGCAGCGCGATCGCGCGTGGAGCGTGAGAACCGCCCGGCCCCGACTGTAGAGCGGGAATCCTTTACTTTAACCGGGAGTCTCGTAGCTAGAATACTCGGGTGCTGGAGGAGTAAAGCGAGAGAAACCGTTCGCGGGGGCTGCATCTTAACTTTGGACAGAAGCCTCCTGCCCTGATATCAGCTGTCTCGGTTGTACTGGAGCAACGCTACTCTGCGTAAATACCTCCAGAGGAAAGGATGAAGCTGTGGAGGAACAGCTTGTTTGCTTTGGTTAATGAAGTGGACTGTTCAGTGTAAAGGGGGTCTGCTCAATGTAGCTGTCTCATACCTCTAAGCATATGTTTTGTAGCAAACTGCCACTGCTGTGTGTTCAGTTGGTCCTCTGCTACTTGCTTTCTTAGACATACTTTTATTTTATTATGTAAGGAAAAGGGGGGGGGCAAGCTGATGCCTCGTGGAAATTTTCCCTTTTGGAAAACGTGATTTCCTTTTTAATTTTTAAGAAGTGGTCTGTAAACTTGTATGCATTTGAGAAAGCAGTCTTCTCGTAATTCTAAGCTGTTTGGTCTCACATGAAGGCTTGTGTAATGATCACCAGGCACTGGAGTTGTAATGGGTATGATATTACAAGTATTTAATGATAGTATCTGAAATACAATCTTCCAAAGCTCGTTTGTAAAGAGGGTGCAGAGAAACGGACTCCTTTGCAGGTCTCTGATACTGTAATCTTAAAAAAACAAACAAACAAACAAAAAAAAACCCCAGCAAGCAGTTCTTGAATTAAGAAACTGAAAACTGCAACTAAAAGGGGAAGAGATTTCTAACCAAAGTATTTACCTCTTTGTAAAGTCTTCTAATTCAAATACTTAACTGACACTCACTGGAGAAACTTTACAGTGAACTAGATGCTGCTCTGACTTAGTTGTCTGCCTGTAGTATTTGAAAAGTTCTTTTGAGTAAAATAGGATGAACTTGAATCTGGCGTGTTTCAGGTTTGTAGAAGGAAAGTCTCCTGACTGCTGAAATTCCTAGATCTGATTCTTCCTGTTCCTTCACCAGTGCTTAAGCTTAAACAATCATAGGTGACTTTTTTTGATGTTTACAGAATGGGTGGTACTCCTACACTTTTGTTAACAATGTCTGGAAGGCTCTGTGCTGTTTGTTAGCCTTGTGTTAATATCAGAGCAGTGTATCATCATAACTTCCAAAACTTCAGCAAATATTCTAGTGATAGTTACTTGGATTTGGGTCTGTCATGCTCCCCTGCGCGTGCCCCCCCCGCCCCCCCCAAAAAAAAAAGATAAGCTCTGTTTATATGTGCTTCTTGTCTGCTTAGTACAGCTTAGGTAGTTCTGAAACTGCTTGTCGCTTGAGTAGCTGTTGTCCCTGTGAATGCATTCTGGCATAAGGGTGCTTTTCCAGTCAGCCCAAATCCAAGAGAGTAATCAACAGTCTGCAGCGTGGCTTGCCCCCAAAACAGTTGGAAGGGAGAGGCGGAGTGAAGAAAGTCTGACATCCAGGGGATTGGGATTCTGGTTTGGAAACAAAGCGAAATATCTTGCTGAGGTTAAGAGCGAGCAGGAGGGAAAGCATTCAGAGTTCTGGAAGTGAAGAAACTAGAAATAGGGGTGAAGGGAGGAAGCTGGGACAGCAAGGCGTTACAGAAAGGAGGAATAAAATAAAGCAGTCCCATATTTCCTGTAAGTCACTTTGTAGGCTCCGGAAACAAAAGTGGATTCAGCATCCTCTGTGTTTCACTCCTTTGTGTAACTTCATTGTTTTATCTTAGATATTGCTTTTATGTGTATATTTAAGAGGGCTGGAAAACAATTTGCATGGGTGCATAAGGAAATACAAGTACTTTACAACATGTCCTGGTATAGTAACATGTCTCTCTTCTGTTACTAGGCTGAGAGCCGAGTAACAAAATTGCAGTGCTTTATTAGTTCCGTTTTTATGTATATTACAGGTCTTAGAAATTGTAGTATTGGTTTGTGTATGTTGGGGGGGGATGTAAACCAGCTGTTTCAAACTTAAGCAATCAACTAAATGTTTCTAGAACACCAAAATATTAGACTGTATTACAAAGGTACTGTCTGTGGGATTAAAGAATTTTGACTGCTCTATTCCATGTTTCCTGGGTTGCACACAAAATTTGAATACTGTGTAACTTGAAAATTGCAAGAAGTCTCTTCAGGCTGGCTGACTCAGCCAAGGCTAGCAGTAACTTGTAGAGACATCTGAAAGAGCACTTACGTATGTTTGCGTTTGTGAGAGTTCCGTCCCATTGTGCCTTCTGCTATTCCTTATTTTTTGGTATTTCTTTGGATATAGCTTAATATTATATAATCCTTTTAAAGAAAAAAACACTTTTTTGGGGGGAATGAAGAGTCACTCCCACTGCTGGGGAGGGTGGGTGAATGCCAGATGCATAGAGGGAGTGATGGAAAAGGGGCGGAATCGCTCTTGGAGCAAAGAAATGGGTACTTTTGGATAGAGAAGGGCAGCAGAAGCGAAAGAAGTAATCCCCTCCTCCTTAACCGTGTGCGGTTTCAGCCGCCCCGCCCGCGGAACAGCTGCGTGCGCCCG